GGGTAACCACTATACTATAAAAACGTTTTCATTTAGAAAATTGTATTTAGTCAAGATGCATTATGAAAATGACATGTGGAGCAAAACCCATGAAACAAAACATTAGTTGTCATTGATCATGGTGCGGTGTTACCCACATGATTAATAGGTGAAATATTTTCAGCTTCCTCTTCTTCCACCAATTAGGTATAGCTTGTTATCTGATATATTCCAATAAAATGACTTCCACTTTGAATGGTTCTCTTAAGATGTACCATTTTGGCCCACCAATCCACCAATTCAATCCCAATCATATACAGATTTTACAATGAGATCATTACTCACTTCAGCAGAACTATAAACATAAAATGGAAGAATGGAATTCAACAGATAAATGCTAAGAAAATATCCAAGACCCCCATTTTTGTACTTTATACCCACCACTACCAAAATTTCCTTAGACAAGAATGAAGAAATGAAGCTGTACAAATAAGCTGGACATTGCAACATGCAAGAAAATATGAATGGAAGGGGTGAAGAAACAGGTATTCTGGACATTGTCTTATTGGTGAAAAGAATCTGACCCATTCTCAGATGGGAAATGGTAGAAAATGCAATTTTCTGAGGTGTTTTTAGTCTCAAGGAAATGGCATTATAAGACTGCGCTTCTACCATCTGAGTTCAGTAGGGAAATGAGGGAAAAGCATGTCGATGAAGTATTCAAATTCTTGAGGTCAGGACATGGTTCAGGGAACACAGACTCTGAAAAGCCAGACACATATGAACATTCCCAAGTAGTGGGCGAGGTTGGAATCGTTGACAAGGAGATGTTGGAGAGACATATAGAAGTAAAGGCAGATTCTTCAATTCCTGTGAAGTTTCCAGCAATAGTGACGTTTGTGCCAATGATGTTCTGAAAGGTGACCTTATCCAGAGTTGGAAGTGCACTGGGATCAAATTTATCGTCTGGATGTACCCCACAATAGCCCGTGGCACCAAAAGCCGTCTCAACATTTTGCATATCAGCATCTGATACAATGATCTCCTTAATATAACCACCTCTTCCACGGGTTGTTCTTAGCTCGATTCCACTTAATGAGTTGTACAGGTGGACCTGCTCCACTTGAATATTAGAAATGCCACCAGACATTTCACTACCAAAGGCAATGGAAGAGCCTGAGAATGATTGAAGGTGGACCCTTCTGATGTGTACCTTTGTGGTAGGCCTGCCATAAGCAATGCCATACTCATCCCAACCACTCTTAAGGGCTATGGCATCATGGCCCATGCTGATGCCACAATCCTCAATGCAGACATTATCAGAAGAATCTGAAAGCAAAATGTTATTAGGAGAGAACTAAGAAATAAGTGATGTCAAGAAAAAGCACACGACAGAAGATATAACCATTACAAACCTGGAACAACACCGACAGTATACGGGGATCCTGGTGGAGCATAAACTGATACATTTTGAATATGTACATCGCTGCAAAAAGATCCAGTCAAATATGAATTTAATTCCTTAAATCTTTGACAAATCAAATAAAAGTTCAAAAAGCAGGCATCATAATCAACAAAGCAATGCCTAACAAACCTGCAATAGACTGGATGAATGTTATAAGCTGGAGCATTCAGAAATGTAATGTTTGATACAAGTATTTTTTCAGATGAAATAAATTCCACAAGGTGAGGTCGGCTATAATTTAAGGAATGAGAGGTGAACCAATCCCACCAAACTGACCCTTGGCCATCTATGGTTCCATTATCACCTGGTAAAACATTTAAGAATAAGTTAATCCAACAGTCAATGGAGGCTGCAACCATAAAAAAAAAAAAAAAACCAATAATAATAATAATAAAAAGAGCAGAAAGAGGTACTAGAATGAAAGCTAAGGAGGTATACACACCTGTTATGACCACATCACGTAACATATACCCATTTATCAAACTTCTGTATCTTCCTCCAGGAAGTTCAATTCCTCGACCATAAGAAGGCAATGGCTGAGCAACATCCCAGTGAAGTGGATCCTTAACAAACAAAGAAAGCATGTGTGAAAAATCAAAGCCTTCCAGGATGCTCTAAGTAAAATTCCTATTGTCATATGTACTATTTTAATAAGAAAGCAGGGAATTTTTGCTTGCTTTATAGTGTTTGTTTCTCTGCCAAGGATGCTACAGAAAACATGAGCAAGAATCAAATCTTTATTGGGGGAGTGGAGAGCAGCATGAAGAGGGCCATTAAGAATAATTTTGGTTTCTCAAAAGTGAGTTTGCCAGTTAAGTAGCAAATGATGCCTCCAATTTCCAGTAAATTTTATCAAAAAGAGATGTCTAGTTTTAGCAATAAAATAACTAGGTTTTGACTTTTGAGTATCCCAAAATTCCACAGTATTTTTCATGCTTCCAGCATGAATAACCCAAGAATATGGAGGATGTTTGTACCAAGTTCCTGTAGGAAAGACTCAGCATGGTTGCTATTGTACAATAAATAAATAAATAAATAAAAAGAAAAAGAAAGGAAGGCATTATGCGTACTTAAAGTCTTGAAAACTTGATACATGCATCTAAGCACATCTAAGGCCAGCATGAGTAGGGTTACTCTTTGAGGTTAGATGGACGAACTTCGTGAAGACGAAAAGATAAGTATCTGGAGTATAAGACCTCCATATCACTGTAGTTAGTCTGGAGAAAAATTCATTAGTTTAGAGATTTATCAAAATATTTTTTTCAGGCGAGAACATTTTCTGGTATGATTTGATGGTTCTGGAGGCCTTATTCTTCAAGCATTAGGGGACAAAAGCATGTAAAAGGTTCTCATTTATGGAAGAAAAAAGAAGGGTGTCATCCTGCTACCAAAAGGATGGATGATTTGGATGTTTGCTAATAATCAAGAAGCATAGTTATCTAGCCAAAAAGAAGAGATAATTACAGTTAGAGGTGGCAAAAATCCACCCGATCCATTAACCCGATCCTAACTCAACCAATAAAAATGGGTTATGGTGTACATATCCCAACCTGCAACCCGTACATAACCCGTAATATCAACCTATACAGGCCACGGGTCGGGTTAAAGTCAACCCATAGGTTGACTGGTTGACTTGTTTGTTTTATTTATTTATTTATTTATTTTAAAAAAAAATATTATATTTATTATTCTTAATTAAATTTTCTTATTGGTAATTCTCTTCATTAATTCATACTATTCAACCTTGTTTTCGTTACTCAAATGGTTTTGAACTTATTTTGAGCGTTTACTCATCATAATTTTTTCTTCTTTTTCTAAAAATTATGTGAGTTTGATCTAATTATCAAATATTATAAATTAAGTGATAATGCAACTAAAAATATTAAAGATGTGATACTAGAATATAAATATAATAATTTAGTAAAAGATGTTCTTGGAAGAGCAATTTCATCATTAAAAAAATTACTTAAACACCTTGATAATGTTTCAAGATAATTGTAAAATTAAAAGTTTATTTTCCAAGAAATTTAAATATTTTAAGTTTAATATTGTTAATCCATTTACTATTATTTATAACTTTATAATTTTTTTTTTAATTTAAATGTTTGTGGTTGAGACTATAAAGTATTTAGTGTTAATAAATTACAATACTTTAATTAAATTTAAATATATAATTTTATTTGCGTATTATGAAATTAATAAAAATTATTATAAAAAATAAAAATAAAGTCAATTAACAGATTAATCTGTAACTCATTAGAATTGGGTTAGGATTGGCATTTTCTAACTGGCAACTCGTTTATGGCCTAACATGCATAACCCGACCCGACCCGACCCGCCTGCCCGGCCTATATTACAGTATCTGGTTCTCTTATTAAAAATGCATTTTTCTTCATAACATGCTGGGTTATACGAGAAGACTAACTACTGATCAGTTTGCTAGGTATGAATTTATAAGCAAACTGCAACCATTTATGCCATAACAGGGGTTTAATCTGTTGTGGTCTTGAGACGAAAATTATAATCCAAAAAGTTTGTCAAGCAAAAGGTATAATTCAGATTTGAAATGTGCATTGCCTATTAATGCAGAAAAGACTATAGAAAATTAATTTTTGAATGTTAATGCTCTTTGTCTTCTAGCGTCTAGTTTAGGTCTGAAAAGATGCAAAATGAATGGAGCTACTGATTCACAAAGTGGCAAATTTTTTTCTGATTAAATGGGATTTCTCTCCTTGAGAAATAGAGAAGCTGGTAAATTATGTATACGTTGTGTGAGTCTGCATCCTGTACAGATGAAGCATTAAGATAGAGAAGAGAATGCAACAGTGAACTCTTTTACTGGTCTTGGTATCGTGAGGGGACAAACTAAGATCTTAGATAATTTAGAGATTCCCAAAACCAAAGCTAGGACATTTCTTAATGAAGTTTTTTCATTTATCATTGAAGTATATCAGGAATTCAGAATACCAGTCTCGCAGAAAAACAAAAAATGAATTCAAAAGGTACAAGACAGAAAAATACCTGAGATCCAAGAATGACAGCACCCTTTTCCAAGAAGAGAGTGAGATGACTGGTAAGATTGAAACTTCCAGTAAGCCACCTTCCTGGAGGCACATAGAGCTGTGCACCGCCCTTGTCTGCAAAGGATTTAAGATAGAAAATGGCATTTTGGAAGGCAAGGGTATTCAACGTTTTGCCATCTCCAACAGCACCAAATTCCAAGATTGACACACTGTGTGGCCTAGGGTCCAATGTCAACTTATAATCACACTGTCCATTGCTTTCTTCTCCATATATTCTGACTGCATTACACAATGCCAGCAGCAAAATGAATGCCGCCTGCAAAGAAGGTAAAACAAAATGTCAACAATGTCATCCTCAAAACAGCTCGCTCACAAGCAAATTGACCAATGTAATAACAACCAAAAAGCAGAAATCCACCAACCCCAGTTAGATTTAATCTGAGAGAAACATGAATATGATATACAGCAGAAAGCATTGATGTATCTACACAAGTTAACTGGGAGAAAACACAGTATAAAACAGCAAAATATGCTGCCGGCCCCCTCGTATAACATCGTTAAAACCAGGAAACTGCCAGCCAGCATTTCTAAACAACTTTGGGCACGTCATACAGACAAAGAAATCATAATGTGATTAATGATTAAAGAAGAAAATTTCGTTCAGAAAAGATCAACTGGACAAATTCAAATGACCAGATTTATGATTTTACTAAAGCGATGGAATTACCAGGGAAGTAAGGGATAAGGACATCATAAACAGCAGAAACAAATAACCACTTCGGAAATTGGAGTATGATTTCTGTAACTCCAGAGAAGGGAAGAAGAAAAGTCTGTGTCACCAACAGAGAATTAAATTCTCAGATTCAAGAGAAGGAATATCAAAGAACAGGGAAAAAAAATAGGATTAAGATTTATTAGAAAATGAAAACAATATCATTAGATGAGGGGAAAATGGAAGGAACTTTTCAAGCATTGAAACCAAGCAAACACGGTATTGAAGATCTAATGTAGATAAAAAAAACGATGTATCAAAATGGAATTGCCACCATTGATGACTTCAGAATCAGGAAAACTCCGGAAAATAGTCAAAATTCATGCTCAAAAAGAATGTTTCAGAGGAACCCCAAATGGAAACACATATCAAATCCAATCAAGAAACATTAAAACATTTCCTTATTTGGCAATAGGCAGGAGGAGGAAACAAAAGGGAAAAACCAAAAACCCGGATAAAAGAAAAAACGTACTTACTGGCATCTTCATGTGTCACAGACCTCTCCAAATGCTGATACCCTTCAAACACCTAGCAAGGAAATTTGCAGAAGGAGAAGAAGTAGCAGTAGAAGGTAAGGACTAAGGAACCCAAAAACAAGACAGCGCCTTATTTTGTGTTAGTATGTGAATAACGAGCATTAATTATATATAAATGACACAAAATTGGACTATTCTTTTCATTTTGACACCAAAAAAATATGGGGTAAGTAAAAAATTCCATCTTTTTAATGAAGATGACAGCTTTCCATGCATATGAGCGAGTTAAACAGGGACAGAGGAGCATAGAGAGAGAATAATGGAAAATAATAATAAGCATTACCCCTTATTAAGTATGATTAATAACGTCTCTAGCCGACAAATTTGTTCCAAAAGGCCCTCCATTAGAGAGAGAAAGAGACTGTCACTGTATTATTGAGAAAGATTAAAAATTTTCGAGAAACAGTGACTGCATCTGTTAAGATCTGACTATTTAAGAGAAATAATGAACAAAAAACAATGATGGGATGTGATAAATTAACCACCTAGGAGCAGATCTAGGTTGTTTTCTTGAGGCTGGGAAACCCCAAAGCTTGCCCCCAGTTTTCTCTGCTTTTGATAGTTAAGTCCTTTAATAGTTGCTCGATTCATTATATTGGAATAATAATATCATAATAAAAAATATATGCTACTAGTTTAAAATTAATAATTAATAAGTTTATCAAATTTGATCATCCATAATTGTTATTATTTTATAATTTAAATATTTTTATTTATCAAGTTAAATAAAATTATTAATTTTTAATTACTATATTATTTTAAAAAAATAAAATAAAATGAGTGATTGTTTACGAATTTGATAGAGATTTTACTCTTAAATTCTTAACCATAATTACATTAAACGAGTAAAATTTGATGGGAATTTCTCATTAATAATTTAGTCAATTTAGTTAATTTTTAACACACTAAGCAATTGTGTATTAATCGTGGTATTCATATCTTTGCATGTTTCACAAGCTTTCTAAGAAGTTTGAGGGCTTATTAAGGTAATGCAAATGAAATTATTCACTTGCCTTGTGTCTTGTGTCATTTTTTATTTTTTTTGCCATCAAAATAAAATTTTATATACACCGACAAAATGAGTACAATAACGTTTAACATTTGAAAGAATTCAACACACCTATACATCTATATGCATTATAAAACGCATAGATCAACAAGGAGGAGTTAGAATTCCATCGCTGAGGTTTAGGGGTGAACATTTGTCCCAATCCCCACAGAGTCGGCAGGAATCTTCGTCGTAGGAATTGGATGAGAAGGAATATTTTTCCTTGTGATGTGGGGATGGGGCATTTTTCTTATGAGAAATTTCATAAAGAATTTTCTCGTTTTGTAGGGATCCCTATCTTCGTAAAATTTTTTAAAAAATATGTAAATTAATTTTATTTTAAATTTAATTTAATTTTCAAACCCAAATTCAATCTAATAAAAATTCAATTTTACCCAATTTTACCCAATTTAACCCATAAAAATTAACACGATCCATCATCAATAAATTTATTAATTTAACTATTTATGTTAAATTGATTTTTATTTATATTTGATTTTATATTTAAAGAATTTTAATTAATTATACTTAAATTTTTAAAATTTTATTTATTATAATTAAATATTAATTAATTATATATAAAAAATATATATTTTGATATTAATCAATGAAGAACAAAGATTTTCATTGAAATTCCTATGAAAAATGAGAATGAGAGATAAAATCTACTATGTTAAAAATCTCCACAAGAATTCCATTATCATCATTTATGGGGACTAGGATGGGAACAGGAGGAACTTCCCAACCCCACACGACCCGTTGTCATCCCTATTGAGATTGCATGTTAGGGAGTCAATCTTTGATTCCAAAATACTTTGAAGGCTTATTTTTTTTTTTCGGTTTCTCGTCTGGTATCCGGGGTTTCGTCCCGACTAATCCGAACTCGACCCGCGTCGCGCACCTGAAAATAGTGGGTGAGTCTTTCAGTGGAGATTGCTGCGTTCACAAGGTCTCAAACTCGAAATCTTACTTAAACTGAAACAAGTCGCTTACCACTTGATCCAACCCCTCGTTCTTTGAAGGGTTATTTGGAGCTTTCTAGCTAGCACAAAGGGCAATGGTTTTGTATTGGCGGTATTGGATACCCAGATGGCCACGTGGACAAACTGAAGTGGAAGGTTGGGAAAAGGGTGAGACTGTGGGTGATGCAGAGGATTTGAAGAGGAATATAATAATTCATGGGGCATGGAGGCCGCATGTGGGTTGACAGGGCAGTAGACCCCATCTCAATCATGGCCAATATGCTAGCCTGGCCTCAATAACTTGACAGAACATAACTTGAGACAAACAGAGAGAGAAGAAGATTCAGTGTGCGTGTGAGTCATGCTGGCTTTCTTGGGTCCTAATGCGGCCAATTAGGTTCAATTATGATGATATACATGGCAAAAGTTTATTTTTAGTCATTTATCTTATTACATTAAATTTTGTTCATTTGATAGCTGATTATTAGTTGATAAATATTTACTTTCAACTAATAAAATTAATAGTTAGTTAATAGTATTATTTTATTAACTGATTGTTAATTATATTAGATGATTATTAGTTGATTGTTAATTATATTAGATAATTATTAGTTGATTGTTAATTGGTAAAAAATTATTTTTAACTAACAAAATTAACAGTCAGTTGGTAGAATTAACGAAATGTTATAAAGTGAAGGCTATTTTTTTTAATTCTAATAAGTGAAAAGTTAAAAATGTCATATTAAAGTAAAAAGTTAAAACTTACAAATCTAATAAAGTAAAGGACCAAAAATAAGGTTTTTGTAGATATATAGTCGCTATGTAAATGAGTATTAGTTTATATTGTTAAAAAATAAATAAATAAAATTTTAGAATTATATTATATTATTTTTAATAAAATAATATAAAAATAATTATATTTTCTTTTTGTTTTAACAATTAAAATATTTTAATGTTTTTAAATAAAGTTTTATTAAAATAACATAATTTTAAATTATTTTTTACTTAATCTTTTACAATACAATACTTATTTTTTCCTATCACTATTTATACAATAAGAAAAGTCCTTAAGCGCACTTGAGCTTTACGGTTCAATGGCTATAGATCAATTTGTAAAGTGTATCCCTTCAATTTGCGGCCTAAAATTCGAATCCTCTCACCCCCAATTTGTAACCCCATTCAAAAAAAAAAAAAAAAAGAAGGAAAAGTCCTTAAATTATAGTTCTTCTCATTTAATGATTTAAATCATAAAATTAAATGTCATTTAAGTTGTATAATATTTTTTTAATAAAAATAAATCTTTTATTTTTTAAATCACATTTTTGTTGATCTCAAATTATTTAAAATTTTAACTTCTTAACCATTGAGACATCAAAAGCACAATAAAAGTTGTTACGTGAGTTTAATAAATCATGACTTTGTTTAGCATCAAAATCTTATTAACTCATCATTTCACATATATGATTGCTCGGAACAAATCTTTGAGGGGACACCAATGGATGGAAGATAACATTCTAAGTCATGTAATGCAAGAGACATATTAACAAAAGTGGAAAATTTTACAACTAATGCATTTTTCTGAAAATGGGATGCACTGGAATACTGGGGATATGTTTTCTAAGTCAAGATTTTTTTTTTTTTATATAGGAATAATGATTAGGAGTTAAGAGTTAGAAATTAGTAGTTTACTCTTTGGTAAGGTTCAACCACTGATCAGGGTACATTCCACCGACAGTCCTTTTGAGTTGCAATGACCACCAATGAGCCAGCCACAACAGGGGAATGTGTCTTCTAAGTCAAGATTGGAACTGATTACCTTGGTGGAATTTTAGGATAATATGCAGAAAGAATAATAAGACATGAAAAAAAAGACGAATTTTGGTCTATTTTAATTATATTTAATGAACTGGAATCATTCTGTGTTCTTGTTCTATTTCCTTTGGATACTTTTGCAACACTTTTTTTCATAGTGTCCCCACAGCAGTGCACAGCCTGGATTTGGACAATCTTTAAAAGCTTGAATCTTCACTGCTACCTTTTTGGTTTGTCACCAAAAAGTTTCACCCAAACTCGTTAAAACAGAGAGCATCCAACTTTTCTTGTACCAACTCCCATCTTAATTTTTATATTTTTAACTCTAAGACATGATAAGAGTTTCCGCAGCAAAACAAGAAGAATGATTAGATGAGGGGAGTAATCTAGTATTAAGAAACTCACTTTTTATTTAATAATTTTAGTTATATAATTTAATTATATAATATATTTTAACATGATAATTAGTTGTATTTTTTTATTTATTGTCAAAATTTTTGAACTAATTTTTGCTCATTTTGAAATTAATTTTTTTAAAATATTAATCTTAAGAATTGATCTCTAAACTTGTTTTACACAATAACACCAAGGTAAATTCAACTTTTAGGGATTACATGATGATTTTTTTTTT